GACCCTTTCAGCAGCGGGGCGGGCGCGCCATCGTCGTCGTCGTCCCCGTCCCAGGCCCTCGACGGCCCCGCCGCCTTGCTCCTCCTCAGGGCCTGCCAGAGGCAGAGCAGCCCCGCGCAAGTCACCAGCGGCCAGAAGACGCGCACGTTGAGGCGATAGGCCGTCGTCATGGCCCCGGCGGGCCGAGGGGTGGCTCCGGAGCTGAGGAAAAGTTCAGTCGGCGGGGGAAAGCTTGCCAGGGAGAGGGCGCCTCTGAGCGCCCACGGAGGGCATCGCGCTCAAGAGCGGGCACACTTCCCACGCCCGAATAAATGCCCTTTGACGTGCAGGCGGCGGGCGCCCGAATCCCCCGCTGTCCGTCCGTGGTTTTTCTGAGGGAAGGAGGGAGGGCGTTTCTTCAGCCCATCGTGGGTGCCCTCGGGTGCCCTCGCCCGCTCCTTTCGCGTCCGCCGGGGCAGCCAGGCAGGAGAACAGCCGCTGCTCGCCCGGCAGCCCGACGGATCTCCCCGGCGTCGGGTGACCCTCCTTCCTCCTCCTCCTCCTCTTCTTGGCCGACTCCTCTGTCCTGACTCACACGCGACCCGCCGGCCGGACTTCCGACGACTGCCCAGGCCTCTCGGATCCTTCGAGCGCCAAGGAGACCTCGGCGCCGCCGCCTTCCCGCAATCGGAGCCTCGCTCTGCTCTTCGCTTCAACTCCTTCGGCTCAAACTTCCCCAGTTGGTTCTCCACGCCGGCCGGGCGGGAGGCCTCCCTCCGCCGCCCCTCGTCCCTCACTTTTCTCCTGTCCCGGGACGCAAGCAGGGCGTCGCTCTCTCCCGCTCTCGCCCCCTTAAACTTCTCTGGCGCCCTCCCCGCCTCCGTCTCCTCCTCCTCCTCCTTCTTCAGGCAGACCGTTACTCGACCAGCCCTGGCCCAGCTTCCTCTTCCGAAGGGGGGGAAAGAGGAACCGAGCCGCCGCGTCACTTAACTCCCGGAGCTCAGAGGAAGTCTGGGCTCCTCCTCCAAGCCGGGCGGGGGCGGCGGCGGCGGCCGCGAGGCGCGCCCTGTTTGCTGAGGGACCTTCCCTCGCGGGAACGAGCCATGAGGGAAAGACCTCCACCTCAGGCACCTCTGAAATAATCTGAACATCGGGGAGTGAGAGTTTCTAGTCTCGAAGAAGAAGGGACAGTTTTTGTGGTCCGGGAGTAGGAGGATGCCATCTCCCCCCCCTTTCTTTGGTTGGACTCCAACTCCCATCATCCCCGATTCTGGGCCTGTTCGCCGGGGGACTGTGTGGCGTAATGAGAGTCAAAGCCGGAGAACAACTCTCAGGGTTGCAGGTTTCCCCAGTGCTGACAAAAATATGTGTTAAACGTTACAAAAAAAACCCAACCAAACAAAAAAACAACAGGTCCCTGCCCTCTAGGAGCTTCCAGTTTAAAATTAGAAAGGGGTGGGAAAAGCAAAGGTGAGAGAAGAGAAGGCAGGGATGAATAGAGGACTGAATGCAATGTCATAGGAAGAGTTGGAGAGGGGCACAAGCATGCCACACCCTTTTAGAAGTGATCATGACTTCCAAAATGGACGGAGGGTTTGGGAATCCATAGCCCAGAAAACAACTTTTTATCCACTCCTTTTCCCCTCCCTTAATGGCATGTTACATTCTTTACAGTGGTTAGGAGAGTAATTGATTTTCTAGGAACAATATGTGGTTGCAAAACATTCCCTTTGGAGTGCAAAGTATTTGAGGGTGATCTGGTCTTGAATGGGAAATTAAGAGCCATTAGATTTACAAAAGACCTGCTCTCCAGTTAGTGTACATAAAGATGGGCACAAATAAGAAAAATTGTGATTTGGGTTTCGGATGTTCAAGGTATACACTTACAAGGAGAGTCCCGTCAGGAAAGTTTGTCCCGGACACCAAAACCACAGAGAAGCGTCTACTGACTCTGCTCTACAATCACCCCAAGTTTGGTGAAGATTGGCACCCACAAAATGGCTCATCCCAAGGAAAGTGCGCTTTAGCAGCTGGCTTGGGAAAACCTTTCTGGCAGGGACTCTTTGTGGGTGTATAACTCAGACATTTGAAACTGAATCTTCATCAAACTTGGAGGGATTGTACAAAAAAAGCTGGGGGGATCTTCCAAGCAGTCTTTGTTTCTCTAGGTGCCTGAGGGGACCATTTTATAGCCTAACGAATTGACTAATAAAAAATCACTAAAAATTCATTGATTGGTGTTCATCAGGGTGTTGAGTCATACGAATAGACAAAGTGATTTTTTAAAAAAAATTGTTGATGCATTCTTTAAATTCGTGTCCATCTCTAGTTCTAGCTGCTTCCATTTTTGGACTCTTCTTAGGCAGGAAGACTTGTTAAGGGGAAATACCATAGTGATCTCCTGCACTTCCTAATTTACCACAACACCATGATAGGAGAAATGGCCTTCTTGGTGAGTACTCCCAAACTCTGGCTATGTAGTAACACTAGTGGTGGTTTACCACAGTTCACAGCAAATGAATTGCTCAGCTCTTGTAAACTCAAGCCTGTGGCTTCCTTTATGAAGTACATCCACCTTGTATTTGGTCTTCCTCATTTCCTCCTGCCTTCAACTTTTCTTACCATTATTTTCTTTTCCAGAGAACCTCGCCTTCTCATCATGTGCCCAAAGTAGGACAGCCTCAGGTTCAACATGTTTGCTTCCAGAGATAATTTAGGCTTGATTTGATCTAGGACCCACTTGTTCATCTGTCTTGCGTTACAGGTTATCTGCAAAGCTCTCCTCCATCATCATCTCTCTCCCTCCCCACTCCCCCACAAATACAACATTCCTGCTGATTTTAGTCTGACAAAGGCTAGGTTATACTAAAGGCCAAACTATATTTGAGGCCAGCTTCACAATTAGAAAATGGTAACACTGTTACTCATCCAAAGCCAAACTCTACCTGCATAATTGGTCACATGTACTGTACTTCATCCCTCCCCACTCCCCCACAAATAGAACATTCCTGCTGATTTTAGGCTGACAAAGGCTAGGTTATACTAAAGGCCAAACTATATTTGAGGCCAGCTTCACAATTAGTAACACTTACTCCTCCAAAGCCAAACTCTTTGCCTGCACCATTGGTCACATGTACTTCAGAAGCCATTTCTGGGATAAACTAATTCTTTTACAGCTTAAGGTCGTCTCGTCAAGGGGAACCTTTACCTTTACTGTACTTCAGAAGCCGTTTCTGGGATAAACGAATTTCTTTTACAGCTTAAGGTCGTCTTTCATCTAATGATCTGTTAACTCTAGTGTGTTGTCTGATCCAGAGTTTTTCCACCAGGCTGAAGATCATTCGGAGAGATTCCTGGCTGAAAAGGAATTTGAACCTGAGTCTTTGGAGTCTAACCTCTCCGTGTCTTCCTTTGGGCTTCCAAAGTTAGCCTTTGCAGGAAGATGATGCTGGGTTAGCTCCAACAGGACCCTTCTTATGTTTTTTTTAAAAAGTATTTTTAGGATAGCTTTGAAAGGACCAGCTGGCTGGATAGCTCAGGGAGCTGGATATCTGGCTGTAGCACCATACGTTGGGAGTTCACGTTATCCACTTCTGTGTATTCCCAACATGGAAAACCCTGTGATACAGAATCATACGGTCCTCCAGTCTTTTCCCTCCTTCCCAGTAGGGCCAGTAGAAAGGCATGCTAGGTGTTGTTGCCCAAGATAGCTGGAGATCAAAAGTTCCCTTACCCCTTCACTCGACAGTAAGGGCAGTGTATGAATCGTGCGCGTACAAGAGAGTCACGTCAAAACTGACTTACAGCAATCCTCATAGACTTCTCAAGGTGAGTGGGGCATTTAAGGTGTGGTTTTATCAGTTCTACCCACCCCAGTGAGTTTCCTTGGTAGAGCTGGAAAATGAAACCAAGCTCTCCGGAGTCCTAATTCATTAAAAATGTGTGTTGTTTATATTCCATCCCATACTGTTTAAAGCACTCTCTGGGGAGTTTAATTATGCAGGATACACATTACCACCACCACCACCCCTCAAGCTGGGCACTTAATTTACCAACTTTGGAAAGACTGAGTCAACCCTGAGCCTGTCAGGATCGAACTTAGGTTGCGAGGAGTCCTGACTGCGGAATTGCAGTTTAACCCATTGCACCTATCATTACTCTGTCCACGACACTACACTGGGTCCTGGATACTTATATACAGTAGACAATCATTTTAACAAGGATACTGTAGGATGCAGTGATGCTGTGGCAAATTTTGAAAGACCCCCCCAAGCTTAGTTTGGAAAAGCCGGTATTTGTGTTGATTCACATCAAGAAATCAACTCCAGCAGTATTTTTGTCTTTATCAGGAGGAGGTCTTCTGTAAAGCTAACAGAACTTAATTGACTGTTCAAGACCAAGGCATTTCAAAATACAGTACTTTGCACTACCTTGTCTTGGTTTCAAGGGGGTAGGATAGCCATACTAGTCTATTTTAGCAGAAGCAACAAAGATTAGTGTAGCACCTTAAGAATTAGCAGGAGGCACCTGATGAAGTGAACTGCAAGACTGTACTGTGAAATGGGCTATAAAATTCATGTTGAATATAACTAGTTACCCTTTAAGCATCCAAGAGAAAATTGGACGTCCATCTGTCAGATCTGCTTTGATTCCTGCCTTGAGCAGGGGGTTGGACTAAATGGCCTTATAGGCCCCTTCCAGCTCCATTATTCTGTGATTCTATGATTTTAGGTATTGCAAGACCCTTTGATAAGGAGGTTCCCAACAATACCCAACAATATAGCAGTAACTCCAATTAAATCCAGTTTAATTGTTAGTCCCAACTAGAAGAGATTAGTGAATGTAACCTTGTAAGGCAAGAGTCTCAGTCTATTCTGATTAGTTTTAGCCCAACATATTTTTGCCGGGGGGGGATGGTCAAACTACTCCCTACTTGTTGTATTAAGCAAAGCAACTATATTCAGAAGAAATTCCGAATCACCAATTGTTTTATTTGGTGTAAACTTTCACAGATTGCTATAGCCCACTTCGTCAAAGGCAACCTGACAGAAAATGGAAAATCCATTTCCTTCCTGCTATTTTGAGGATTTTTTTCTAAATGCAAGAGGGAAGACTGGGAAGCTCCCACCTCCACCAATTTCACATAGCTCTAGGCCCAACTTCAAAATGTTTTCTGCAACCAATTAACCCA